TGTTTACGGGCTAAATGGTTACAGAGAGAGAAATGAGATGTGGGAAGAGCTAAGTGCCAATAGAGGGTTTATTTTTTTGATCAATATGCCATTAGAGGGTTATGGGAGGGCCTTGGTATATTTGGAAATGATTTAATGCAATTAGATTCATAGAGGAGACTAATAATCCTAGGCAAAGGAATAGCAACTAGCATGAGAAAATTCAAAGATTTTATCAATAATTTTGAGTTGAAAGATGTGCCCCTCCATCATAATGTAACTTGGTTTTGTCCAACCTTCAACTCCTAATTTTCTCTAGGCTGGATAGATTTCTTTTCTCAGTAGACTGGGAAGAACTTTGGGTTGTGTTAGTATCAAGGACTCTAATAAGAGTAGCTTCTTATCATTGGTGAATCACACACTATAGAGAATATATGAGAGGATCAGGTCCTATGCCCTTCATGTTCAAAAACAAGTGGCTCCGCCACCCTAGCTTTATTCAAAAGTCAAAGAATGGTAGGAAGAGGGTAGATTGAGGGTGAGATGGAAAGGAATGTTGTTCCATCAAAAATTACAATTCTTGAAGACAAAAATCAAGGAGTGGAATACATAGTGTTTTAGGAGATTAGAAGAAAGAAAATAGTAGGTCTTTGACCAAATTGAAAATCTGGACGAGAATGAATCCTTAGGTACCTTTGAGAAGGGAGATAGAGAATTAAGGTGGTCGTTGAAGAAGCAGTTGGAGGATATTATGATTAAGGAAGAGATTAGTTTGGGGCAAAAATCAAAGAGTAAGTGGATCAAAGAGGGAGATAAGAACACTAAATACTTTCATGCCTTGGCTAATGGTAGAAGAAGGAAGAACCTAGTGTCCAATTTGGAAGTTGATGGTGAGGTGATTACCCAACCTAAGGAGCTTGCTTGGGTCTTTTGGAACACTTTAAAATCATTTTTTAGAAGGCCGCTAGGTGAAAGTTTTGCAATTGAAGGTTTGGAATGACCTTGTCTCTCTAAGGACTCTAAAGCTTTAGAAAGACCTTTTGAAAGGGAAGAGATCAAGGAAGTTGTGTTCTTAATGGAAGATCCAAGGCACTAAGGCTGGATGGTTTCACCATGGCCTTTTATCAAGATTGTCAGGATATCATTGAGGGTGATTTGTTGGAGGTTTTTAAGGAGTTCTTTGAAAGGGGAGTTATTAATCCTAGTCTAAATGTCACTTTTATTGCATTAACCCCTAAAAAAGGTGGAGCTATTCATCCCAAGGATTTCAAACCAATAAGCCTACTTAACAACCTGTACAAGATAATTGGCAAGATTTTGTCCCTAAGAATCCAATGAGTACTACCCTCCTTAGTTTCGACTAATCAAGGTGTCTTTGTGCAAGATAGACAAATTATTGATCAAATACTAATTGCCAATGAGTGAATGGAAGAAATGAAAAGATCAATGAAAAAAGGTATAGTCTTCAAGACTCATCAAAAAGGGTAGAGTTTGCAAAGTTGGATCTAGAGAAAGCCTATGATTTGGTTGATTGGAAGTTTTTGATTGGCGTATTAAGGCAATATGGGTCTGGAGAGAAATGGTGCAAATGGATTCAGGGATGTTTAAGGACTTGTCACTACTCAATGTAAGTAAATGGCACAGTGGTGGATCTTTTCTTTGCCAATCATGGATGTTTTGAGTAAACTCATCTTAAAAGTTGATTCAAGGTTTCTAATCCAAGGGTGGAGAGTGGAGAGAGATAACATGCCAATTACTTGTTTACAATTTGCATATGACTGGTGGATCTTTTCTTTGCCAATCATGGATGTTTTGAGTAAACTCATCTTAAAAGTTGATTCAAGGTTTCCAATCCAAGGGTGGAGAGTGGAGAGAGATAACATGCCAATTACTTGTTTACAGTTTGCATATGACACCATTCTTTTTTGTGAGGGAGACGAGTTAGAATGGGTCAGGAGCCTAAAATTGTTCGTGCAACTTTTTGAGAGAATGTTAAATCTCAAAATTAACTTTGATAAGAGTTGCATAACTAGGATAAGTATGGAAGATGGGGAGATTGAAGAGTGTGCTGACATTTTAGGGTGCAATGTTGCTCACTTGCCTTTGACTTACTTAGAATTACCTCTAGAAGCTCATCCAAAAGAAGCATGGTTCTAGAACCCAGTTTTAGAAAGATTTTCTAAGAGACTGGCCAATTGGAAGAAGGGGTACCTTTCTTTGGGTGGAAGAGTAACATTGATTAGAGCGATCTTTTCCAACCTACTAATGAGGGGTTTTTTATTGTGTTTGGGTGGAAGAGTAACATTGGAAGAGTAACATTATTTGGGTGGAAGAGTAACATTGGAAGAGTAATGAGGGGTTTTCCAACATTGATTAGAGCGATCTTTGGGTGGAAGAGTAACATAATTTGACCGAAGGAGCAAAAGGTTAGAGAAGCTAATGAGGGGTTTTTTATGGGAAAGGGAAGAGGGACCATAGGATTGGTTGGGAGGTGGTTAGTAGAGGAAAAGAGGCAGGAGGTTTGGGAATAGGTAATGTACAAAGGAGAAATGCAGCTCTCTTGGGGAAATGGCTCTAGAGAATGCCGCAAGATAGGGATAAACTTTGGGCAAAGGTGATAGTAGTATTCACGGGTTATTGACAGTGGTTGGGATGTTGGAACTTTGGAAAGGGCAAATTGGGCCTCTCCTTGGAAAGTCATCAATGTGGTACTACCACACTTTACTCCTTTATTTTACTCCTTTTATCAAATACAATCTTCGTAATGGTAACAAGATTAAATTTCAAGAACACATTTGGTTGGGGACCTCCTCATTGAAGGAATAATTTCCATCACTATTTGCACTTTCTTGCATTTCAAATTCAAGAAATGGGTTCAATTGGGGATTTGTGCTTTCAAAGGGGCATAAGAGATTCTGAACCCCAGAACGTACTTACCTTACTACAAAAATTGGAAGATGTATTCTTGATCCCCCTAAGCTAGATAACCAAATTGGACTTGTGCCCCTTCAGGCTCCTTCTTTTGTTCCTCCTTCAAAGTCTTGTCCCAACCCTCCTCTAGATCTTTTCCTTCTTTTCTAGTCAAGGTATGGTATAAGCCTATCCCTCCTAGAATCAGTGCTTTCTGTTGGGAAGTTATTCATGAAAAGATTAATACTTGTGACTCACTCCAAAGAAAACAACCAGATTGGTGCTTATCCTCTCATAGGTGTACCTTGTGCAAGGCCAATGGTGAGAGCTGCTTTCATTTACTTATCTCTTGTTCGTTTGCTACTTTTATTTGGGAATGATCTCTTTCCTTGTTTGGGTGCAGGTGGATCCCTCCGGCAGATATTCAAAGCTTACTTGCTCCTTTCTTCATTTGGCCAAAGAGAAGGGGAAGAGATGGAAAGTCAGGTGGTTACAAGGAGAGGATTCAAAGTTCTGGATGTACAACAATGAAAAGAAGAAAGTCAGGTGGTTGAGAAGAGATGGAAATCACATTCAATTGGATTAAATGCCATGCTAACTCATTAGCTGATGTTTTAGCAAAACAATGGTGGGGAGAGAATCTCTTTTCTGGGCACTCTTGTAAGTGAGGGGAGGAGTACCTGGGGGAGAGATAAGAAGTTTTATCTCTCATTGACTAGCTTTCTTTTCTCTTGTAATTCTTATATTATACACTTCTTTCTGATTAATTAATGAACAGAAATATGCAATTATTGGTAAAAAAAGCACAGTCACTAAAGGAACAAGGGAAAGAACAAAGAAGATGTAGCCTTAACATGAAAACTGACTTAAGGACTTAAAATTTGACAGAAAATATAACTCTCACAGATCATTATGGTGGGGCAGGATTCATATAGTAGATGCCAAATAGTTGGGATAAGGCTCACTTGAGTTTAGTTGCCTTAGCAGGTACATAGTCAAACCACCAGGTCTCACATCAAGGTCAATTAATCATATTTACTATGCTTCCTGATAAGCTAGAGATGAACAAGATCAAAACACAATAATGAGGCAACCAAGTGCAAAACCACAATGCAACCGCTTCAATACTCTATTCTTTCAGAAAATCCTACCAATGAATCATCCTAATAAACTCATAGAACGTCTACAACAATATCAATTATACCCAAATCAAACATTTGAGCATTACCTACCAATAACTCAAACAAGTATTGTATTGATTCCTTACGCTTCCAACATGTTATCTACCAATGTTCCCTCAGCTCTCCAAATATAGGAAATCATCTACCAAGAGACTATCATGGTCCAAACAGGACTGACTTCCATATGTACAATAATTTCAAGATTAAACATTGACAGTAGTAGATAAATGGTAAGATAGCATCTGCTTGCTACCATACAAGAGAAATGTTTACCTAGCTTCTATTCCAACAGATTAGAAGAACAAAAATATTTAACTATACTTCCTAATGCACTGAAATATTCTTTGGCCAAAGAACCACCCAATACCACCACAAGTATCAATAATGCTTATACCAAATTAGTGTGGATTCAAGATAATTTCGGACATTCACAATCTCAATTCAAACTCAATCCTAAGAATTGGTTTCTGATTAAGATTACGATTATAACCCAGCAAAAGAATAGGGGAAAACATTTGAAGGATGCAAATGGACTCCGCTACTTTTGTGAAGGATTGATGTAACAAAATGTTTTCCGGTGGAATCAGAGATGGAAGGAAACAACTAAGAAACTTTCAATACTGCATATGGTTGACATAATTTGATCAAAGAATTACATCTATACTTATAATCCAGTCGATAATCACGAGATCTAACCAATTCGAAGCTCCCACAAAGATCTGTAAAACCAAGAGTTTCTACTTCTGACAATACTCAACCTAGATGTCTAGTCAACTCATCTCTGCGTTATAAACCAATCAACAAGCCTTCCCGTATCAGGTGATGAATAGAACCCCCATCCTAATACGGAATCCAAATTTCAATCAATTTATTCCTCTGAACAACCAAAACTCAAACGAGGCAGAAATTAAAGAAAATTTAACACCGGTATAGATCTATCAATGATCGATTGTATTAATCGGATACTGCGTATACAAATCAAAAGCACAAGTCTCACCAACCACAACAAGCTACCTCACTAAACATTGGAAGTCTCAAAAGAAAAAAAAAAAAAAAGGAAAAGGAAAATAAACAACAGAAAGCCTTATCTCGAATTCCACCAATTCCTTTATGGGTCTCCCCCCATCATTCCTGATTCTTCAACTTCTCGAGGCGCTGGTTGAGCTGATCGAGACGGACAAGCAGATGGGTAACCGAAAACAAGAGCCAGTAGAAGACGAGAGCAGAGGCAATCAAGAGGGCATTGCGTTGGCTCTTCATGATCGACTTCTGATGACGGAGATGCTCGCTGGGAGTACAGGCTGCACCCTCGCAAGTCGGCCGAGTCTCGTACTTCCAGTAAATGTCCATTAACAGAAACAAACAGAACGGAACCACCGCCAGGAACGGCTTCAGGAGGTTCCGAGTCACCGCGGTGAGACCCTTACGGAGTCGTTCGAGACCCGGCAGCGTCAGCAGCACCAACATGATTGCTTCCGCGCCCGCGACATATCCAAGCACAACCCATTCCAACGCCATTTTTGCCTCCTAAGAAACCCTACCAGCAACAGATCTGAATTTGGTTTTCGATGATTCTCAGTGCGAGAGCGGAGGGCAAGAACAGAAAAAGGTGGAAGAAGGGAATTCAATTAATAGAATGGAATTGGAGAAAAGGAGTGTGAACATCACGAGGTGACACGTGGCGCAACAAGATGTTTTGATTGACACTTTCCGGTCCGGCGGCATTGGAAAAAACCTTGTTTTTGTCTGTGTTTTTTCGCTTTTATTCCTTCGAGAGCAAGGAAATGTAAGGTTCTCTGGTCGGTCGCCGGCCGGTCCAATGGAAAAAAGTAGGGTTATCATCAGCCGGGTCCGGACCGGGCTTAGCATACATATAATAACGGTTATAGACTTATAGTCTGTGCACGGGTCGGGTCTGGATAATGATGATTTATGACCCGAACCAGACAATCCCGGCCCACAAATTTCCGGGCCCGGGCAAGGATAGCTATTTTTCTTCTAAGCCCCGCTTGGCCTGGACCTGCACCAAGGCCGCATAGATTGCGGGCTGGGTTCAGACCAACCAAACCCTAAGGCCAATCTTAGTATTTTAGGAAATATTTATGGCTATGTATCAAATATATATGGCATAACATATATGGTACATTTATATATATTTTTAAATCTTGATTGTAAAATTAAACTGAATGAAAATTCCAGATACTATATTTTGGGTCAAATGTCACTTTGGTTTCCGAATTTTAAAATGTAACAATTCAGTATTGGAACTTTCAAAACGTGATAAACCAGTACATGTCATTAACTAACTGTTAATCAGCTGTTAAGTGACATTTTAAAAATGTACAAATGCCCTTCAAGTGTCATCTGTTTTTCTTTGTCAACTATCCAAACATTGACAAAAAAATTAATAGTCCCAAATCCTTGTCTATTTCTATTCAAGAAAGTTGGGGTCACCACAATGCCCACTCAAACATAACCCCAACTTTCTTGAATGGAAGAAGCAATGATTTAGGACTATTAATTTTTTGTCAACATTTAGATGGTTGATAAAGAAAATTAAATGAGACTAGAAAGACATTTATGTCCTTTTCAAATGTCATTTAACAGTAGGTTAACTGTTGATTAATGACAAGTATTAGATTATCACGTTTCAAAAGTTTGGGTATTGAATGATCGATCACATTTTAAAGTCTGGGAACAAAAGTAACACTAAGCACAAGGTACAGGATACTAATCAAGAATTTTCCCTTATTTATTTTTAATGTAATTTTATTAAGTAAAATTGGCAAGCCCGAATTCCTAGCCTAGTTTGGTCCAGGCCCAACCCATGATCTTCCTTAGCTCAGAACCTGTGTTTAAAATGTAAAATTATATATTGGGCCCAAGGCTGGCGCAGAAATTTCTGGGCCTGGGGCTGGTTGGGTCTGAAAAACCTTAGCGTAGTTTAGTAGGAAGGTTTGGGTCCATAAACCTTGGACCTGACCATAAGTGAATCCAACTCTAGACCTGGTTAACCAATATATATATATATTGAAATTTATTAAAAGAGAAAGTATTTATTTATCTCTAGAAATATCGTGCAGTAAAGTTTAGAGTTTAGTGCTTTTAAATAGTACTATTAAACATGTAGGTGCATTTGAAGGTGATAGTATCTCTAAGACAAAACTATTTATAATTAATGGACACTTTCTGAATAGTTAAAAGTGGACAGTTTTTAGACAGGACAGTTATAACTGAGCAATTTCTAAAACGAGAGCAAAGGACATATATGTCCTCTTTATGCCCATTGTATGTTTATACAAAGGAGATAGAAAACATCAAATGAAAATTCCAGAAAGAATGGGCATTGGCTCTTTTGTAGGTAGTATAGATATAGATTGTGCTAAATTTTCACAGCCTCCGATTAGTTTTGATGATTTTGGGAGGTGGTCCAAATTTTCACACCCACCTAAACCCAATAAGACCTAGAATGATGCATAATAGGTGGTCCAAATTTAGAGAGATACAGACCTAGTTGAACCAGACCGGTCAACAATCTTTAATCTTAATAAAAGTAGGGGGTGAAACTTGGGTGGGTTCAGCTGGGTTTAGAGCCAACCCAGGCCTAACCCATTTAGAAATTATAATTAGAAAGCTGGGTTGGGTTTAACAAGCTTGGTCCAAGCTTGAAATTAATAGCAGTTCGACCTTCCGGTTTGAATGGATCAGGCTGTTGAAATTTTAAAAATAAAAAAATAAAAAAAAATTAAATTAAAAATGGCCAAAACCATTGTCTGGTTGAACAGATCGACGGTTTGACTGCCCACATCAGCGGGCCATTGACCAAATCAATGATTTTTGATAAAAAATGATTCAGAGGTGAAACAGAACCAATTGCCCAGCCAATTTTTGAGTCAAATGGTCCAACCATCTGTGTCATGACGGTTCAAAAACCATGCATTAAGCAGCATAATTGAAAGGGAAAAAAGGAAAATAATTAAAAAACCTTTTTTTCTTATTAGCCATCCAAAACTAGGGTTGCAAATGGCTTGAATCCAATGAGATATGAATAAAAATCCAAATTTGATTATTTTATATTTGATCGGGATCTTATTCCATGGGTTTATTTTGGATTCGATTTGAATTTAAATTGTAATAGAATACTGAATAGTATTAATAAATTAAACTAAAAATTATCAAAATATTTTATATTACTATAGCTAATACAACGAACTAAAAATGAATTTAATGTTGTATTTCGTGAATAAAATGAATTGAAAATAACTTGTATGAAACTTGATCCATGACATTTTAGTAAAACTACAACATTCAAACCAACTTTACCAATAAATATAATATAAATTTCAAATATATATGAATATAAATGTGTAAATCAAAGATCCAATTATAGACGGACTGAATTTGAATCACCCTTAACCGGATCAAATTTGAATCAAAATCGAGCTAAAAATGTTCATTTGGGATTACTTTTAATATATGCAAATATGTCACCAAATATGCCTCCATTTTTTTAGTCAAAAGAAGATGAAAATCTCTAGCAGTTATTTTTTTTTTCTAAACTTGAAAGTCAGTCACCAGGCGGCAGACGAGCTTGCTCGCGAAGCTTACTCGTTCTCTACTCCTTTAGATTTTATTTTTCCTTCTCTTCTTCTTATTTATTTTGTTGATTTTTGGGGATATACTACCCCTGGCCCGTTGTGTGTAGCATGGTTTTTAAAAACAAATCTGTGACAGAACCAGTCAGGGGTCCGGTTACTGGTTTGAACGGTCTGACCGTTTGACCCGAATAGCTGGTCCATTCTGATAAAAAATAAAAATAATTTAAAAAATTAGAAAACGGTCAAAATCGTTCAAACGGTTAATTGGTCAGTTCAGCGGTTTACTGACCAAAATCAACGGTTTTGAGGGAAAAAGAGGTTTTGGAGGAAAACTGAACCGGTCAAGTGACCGATTCCCGGTTTTCCAGTCTGACCATCCAGTCCGGTCCAGTTTTGAAAACAGTGGTGTATAGTACACTTTTATTATTAAAAACAAAAAAAACAAAAACAAAAACATGGCATTGGGTCTGAGCCCATTCAAATTTTGGCAAAATCTCAACCCGAATCCACCCAAATTGCAGCCCCAAACAAATGCTCCTCCCAAACCTAATCCTGTTAGCCATATGCCATCCAATAATAGCTTCCTATTGAAATTTTGTATGGATGTCAAACTTTGAATGACATTCCAACCCCTAGTTGTACCCAAAATTTGCAAGTGGTTTATTCAGAAAATGAGGTTCAATATGAATGGTTTTTATTTGTCATGAATCTATTAATTTGGCCACATAAAAAAAATGGCTCAGCCACAGATAGGGCAATTTTGGCATTAGATTTTTTTTCTCCACAAACAAGTATCTCAATTGCAAAGAAGCAATGAAATTCTGGTAAAGGAGTAGTTGTGTTCTTTATATACATACGTTTGCCATTAGCTAGTTGGTGGCTAATCGGATATTCCCGCTATTTACAAATCGAATATCATCTACATCTATATAGTATATCTATATGTTTGACGTTGATGCTGCAGATACAGTATTGCTTTTATTGCTGATATGTGGGTTGGAAATACTTTTTTTGAGAAAACGGTGTCTTTTTCCTATTTGAAAATGCTGCTGCCAGGTAAAACATTTCCTGAAGCAACATCAACACTTTTTGTTTGGTACCAGTGCTTCATATCTGTTTTTCAGCACTGGTACCCATTATAGGAAGTCCATGTCACTACCATATCACGTCCTCGTTAGCAGCAACAAGCTGCAATCTGAAAAAACAGTAAATTCGACATTGCTCCAAACCACGCCTAAAACACCATTTTTTATAGAAAAACAGTTCCAAACATATTGGTGTTTCCTGAAACACCGTTTTTTTCCGACATGGCGCTGATATGTCATCGCTTTCTGGTGCAACGACATCGATGCCAAACAGACACATAGTCAATACCAAATATTTTGAGATATATAAGGTGTTTTTTTTTGGGATCCATATAAATGCTTCATATTTAACCATGATATTATTTTCTTGGCCAATGACTGCAAGAAAATGGACTTCAAGTTGAGATCCTTTGCTTTCAAAGGCCTCCATATATATAGCCTTTCATTTTCTGTTGTATTGGTGTCCTTTTATGCACCTTGTGGGTAAAGTACTCCATAGTGGCTTTATGTAAATGTTTGTCAAGGACTCAGATCCATGTTTTGAAATAAATTTTTGTTTCGGATGATCCAAATGTGTCTGCTTTATCTTATCATTACCGAAGATTATCCATCCATCATGTAATGGATTGGGACATTTTTCAAACTGTAAGAATTTAAGCCAATGTTTACTCAGAGAAATTCTGATGAGCATGGGCAAAGTTAAGTAAACCAAGGGTGTCATGGTCCCCTTTATTCCCCATAATCTCCACTTATGTTAATAGATGATTGACCCCCTATTCATATTTTATTTTCCCCCTTTCCCTTGATTGGCCCTTTAAGAAAAATTCTTAAATCCACCATGACCATGAAAACCGTGTAATGACACGAGTAGCTGCAAACCATAGAAATAGGAGCTCTCTTTGGTGGAGAAGGCATATGCCATCTTGTAGGGTCTCAAAATAGATTTAATTTGGATTATAAAAGGCGACTAAAAAATTAATGCATTGGACAATCCTTGGATTCCAAGTTCAGCAATAAACTAGCTTGAAGGCTCTCAGAATACTAGGTTGTCATTATCACTGAAAGTCCCTGATCTTTTACTATCAGATGGCACATGGAATAGATCTCTCCTCCATCAACTATTCTCCTCATAAGTAATTCAACAAATTTTATCAGTTATGCCAAATAGTGAACTCTTAGAAAATTGAAAATTCACTACTTTGGAAGAGGAACTTGAAAGCTACATTCATAGTAAGGCCTGCATATGACTCATTTATCAATTAAAAACCATTTTCTTCTTCCACCATTTTGATTGGCCCAAGATTTGGAAGACCAAAAGTTGCATGTATGTATTAAGGGCCCATTTGGGTTGCGGGAATAGGGGTTTGGAATTAGAATCGGAATGGCCATTCCAATTTGAACTGTTTGGTTGGGTGGAATCAGGACCCATTCTCATTCTCGGTGGAATGGCATTCCCCCATTTGAGGGAATGGCCATTCCCTCCCTTTTTCTTGGGACTGAAATCTCATTCCAAATGATTCTAATCCCAATTTCGATTTATGTTTGAACCAAAGAGACTATGAGGATAGACCATGATTCTGAATTCAATTCAACTTTTTATTCGAAGGTATTGTGGGACAAAATGCCAACAAGAGACAGGCTTTGCAAACATTTAGACTTGGCTTAATTTCAAGGGAAATTTCCCAATTAGCAAGTGGTCCCCGAACCTTAAAATGCAATAATTCAATACTTGAACTTTCGAAACATGACAATCCATTACCTACCGTCAATTAGTTGTTAAGTAGCTGTTAAGTGACATTTGAAAAATACACAGATGCCCTTCAAGTGTCATTTAATTTTGTTTACCAACCATCTAAACGTTGACAAAAAATTAACAGTCCCAAATCCTTGCTTCTTCTATTCAAGAAAGTTGGGGTCACATTTGAGTGGGCATTCTGGTGACCCTAGCTTTATTGAATAGAAGAGGCAATGATTTGGGACTGTTAAATTTTTGTCTATGTTTGGATGGTTGATAAAGAAAATTAGATGACACTCGAAGGGCATTTATGTCTTTTTCAAATGGCACTTAACGGCTGGTTAACAGTAACTTAACAGCAGGCATTGGATTGTCATGCTTTGAAAGTTCGGGTACTGAATTGTCGCATTTTAAAGTTTGGGGACCAAAGTGACACTAAACTCAAAGTACAAGATACTAATTGGGAATTTTCCCTAATTTCAATGTGTTATTTGTGCTATTATCAATTTTTTGGTTAAATTACAAAGACGGTCACATCCTAAACAAAATAGTGGACTATCCGACTATGCTCTATAGCTTTGAGGCACTTGTGTGACAATCTCTCACATCATAAACAACAATGCTTCTTTGCAAGATGTAGACTCTAATCAAACATTTTTGTTGTTTATAGATGGATCCTTTCATCCGGCTATATGCACCACAAGAATTGGCTATTTCATCCAAAATCCCATGTCAAGAATGATGGTCTCATTTCCAAGTTGTAGATGCCAAGCACTCAAGCAGTCAACTGTGATCAGAACTGAAGTCTCTTATTAAGGCTGTGTTTGGTTTGAAAGAAAAGGTAGAAAAATTTTTCTTTCAAACCAAACACAGTATAAAGGCCTTAGGCAAACAAAGCATTTAAAGATCAAGGCAATTGTAGCCTTTTCTGATGTAGAAAAGACTCATTTGTATATATGCTCTTTTTTGATGCTATATCATTTGTATATATGCCAAAAACTCAAAAACATTAGGGACCATGGGTAGCATATTCCCCTTGAATAAGCAAAGAATACAAACAATATGATCTAATGAAAAGTCCTTTCCTTCTTTGCCTTTTTTTTTTTTTTTTAAAGAAAACTTAGAATTTTTAGAGATATGACCATCTAATTCCTTAAGAAAATTCATTAAAATCCTCTAATTGTTTTGACTAATTATGGATTAAATTACTGTTACAAAATCTATTAACACCATCTATAAAAATGAGAATGATCAATTTCTTTGGTCGAACACCCTGATTTTTGTTTCCAATTTTACCCCTTTTAATATATCTCTGAATGAATTGGCAAACAAACTCAAACCTTCTATTTTGCCCCTACATATAACAAAAGATAAGTGCACCAAAAAAACACAAACGCCTGGATAGCAAAAGTCTACATGATTTCTGTCAATTTACTTCTACGGTGAGCAGAAGCCACATTCAAAGAAGTGAGGACCCACTTCTTTTTCAAGTAGACTTATTTAAAACTGTATTTGGAGGCTCTATATGAAGGCAAAAAAATTTATGGCAATGTGTACGTGGTGCGCTACTACTAGGATATAATTTGATAATTTCAAATTTTGAAAATTATTTTTAATGTCAAAATTATTGAGGTTATTAATAGTTAAAAAAATAATAGTAGTAATTTTTAAAATGATTTACAATTATTACAAAAACATTGATAGTTCAGTAATAATTATTGATAATTATTTTGTTATTCAATAATTTCATAATGATGGTAATTTCAGTAGTTGTTATTATCAAATTATTAGTCATTATTAAAATAATGATCTATAATTTTGACTATTAATAACCTCGATAATTTTGAAATTATCAATATTTTCAAAATTATCAAATTATTGAATAACAAAATTACTGTAATTACTCAAATTTCCAAAATTATCAAATTTATGAAATAACAAAACATCGAATAAAAAATAATTTTAACAAAATTATTGAATAAAAAAGTTATTTTAAAAATCATTGTTATTATTTTTGAATTATCAATAATTTCCAATAAAGTTGAAATTATCAACAATTTCTATGAGATAATTATAATTATTATTGTTATGTAGCTATCATTTTCGAAATTATTGTAATTAATAATATTATTTAATAACAAGTATTATTATTCAATAATTCTCATTATTATTATTATTATTGTTATTATTATTATTAAATTATGAAATGGTTGAATAAAAAATAGTTATCAATAATTATTTTGAATACCAAATTTTAAATAATTTTTTGTAATTTCTAATAAGAAATTATTGAAACTTATTTTAAATAATGGTAATTATTGGAATTGGCATAATTATAAATTATCAAATTATTAGATAACAAAATAATGGTTTTCTTATGGCAATTTTTAGGGTGTTAGTGAGGATTTTCAGTTTCTTAACAATTTCTATGAATTTTCGTACTATTTTAGGAGGATATGAGGATGGTGTTTTGTTTAGAACATGAGTTAGATATCACGACTGAGGATTATGATATGTTGATTTAATGATAGATTTTAAGTTGACGTAGGCATGGCAAAACAAAAAGATGCTCTAGCAATTCAATTTTAGGCCAATTTATTTAAAATGTCTTGAGAATAAGTGCTTAGTTGATGATTTGGGTCGCAATGGAACTACTGAAACCAATCAAGTTGATCGTTCGATAATGAAAAAATGAGAAAAAGGAAAGAGGGGATACCGTACTTGATTAATTGGTTGAGTTGCAGTAGACAATGGAAAAGAAAACGTTGAAGAGCCTAACCCTATGTTTCTGGACGATTGAAGGGCATAAGTGGCATTTTGAAATCTAAGAGGGGACAATTTTGGAATCATAATTTTGAATAAGTGCTCATTGTATAAGCACTTAAAAAGGTTGAAATTTTAGCTAGGCTTCTTCAATAAACACTTATTTCGAGCTTATTTCTCAAATGCCAAAAACTACTTAATGGTATGGTCCTGGCCCAAAATAAGTTCTTATTCAAATAAGCACTCCCAAACTTGCCTTAGCCGTTGATGAGCTTTAAAGTTGATTACATTAGGTAATTTTTTGCTATGAACATTTATTGGGTTATTTATATCTTCAATTATATTTTTTTTAGTCTAATCATATAAATCACGTCAAATTATGAGTAGCTTATCAAATTGAGTAAACTTCCACAACTTCAATTTTAATTGTTTGGTTCAATTTAACTTGATCCCCATCCTAATGATTAGCGTATAATCTTAATTGTTTGATTATAAGATGGAGTTGATTTATAAATTGATGAAGAATTGAGTTATTACTATTATTATTATTTTAAATAAGACAATATAAATTTATTAGTAAAGAAAGAGAAGTATACAAACATATATTAAAAGTAGAAAACAGAAACAAAACAGATCTCACAAGCTACTCCAACAAAATAAACTTTGCGCAAACTTGAAATCGCAAGAACAAGACACCCAAACACAAAGACTTTGATTGTTCTACCTACAAAACAAACTTTACAAATGTACCTTATACCACATATCTGGAATATTGTCATCAAGCATGTCATCCATCTCATAGTCCAAATTAATCTATGGGCAAGGTGGAAAGAAAACCTTCATCTCGCGTCTCTCTCTCTCTCTCAAGTCGCGAATGAGACAAAAAGGTAAAGAAAGGAAAGCCTCAAAGACCACCCAAATTTTCTCACTCTTCTTTTCACCTTTTTCTTCTATTCACTTTGCTGAGGCTACGACGGGTACGAGCTAGTCAAAACTCGTAGCTGCTATGTGGGCCACCGTGGCGGGACATTGCTTATGGGCCACCCATGCTAGCTTTGAGTTGGGCTAACTCGGCTTACTCGTGCCGTGGCCTTTTCCATTGTGCATTTGCATTCCTCAATACACACTGACATATCTTCTGCTATGGAAGCTCTGCGTCTTTCTTTCCTCTGTCCTACCTCTCGTTCTTTCTCTTTCTCAATCGATTCGATCTGCCTTTGTTCATTCCTTTCTAATTCAAAAGAAAATAAAAAAATGAAGGAACATAAACTTTGACGAGGAGTGAGGCCGTTAAAAAATCTAGGTAGGTAGGGAGCGGGGGGAGAGAAGAATGACTACTCCCCTGAGGCTTTTGCTGCCTCTAAATTCGGCCTTCTGTTGTTCAGATTTCACTCCAAAAGGCTTTGGAATCTTCTCTCAAAATTCCAATTTCATCTCCCAAAGTCCCAACAACCCTAACACCTCGAGGCCATCTTCTCTTTCTTCTTGTTCTCCTTCGCATAGTAAATGGGTCGGAGCAAGGAAATATTCACACAACACAGGAAGCCTCCACTCAAGACAGACGGTATTTCTCTGTCTCTGTTTTGTTTGGGTTTCATTTAAAAGATATTTGGCGTCTTGTTTTTCTTTCTTCTTATGACATATAACGGTGCTCTGGTAATTGGGTTTTGCTTTGGATGGGCAAATGTCTGGATTTATGCACGGGCATTGGGTTTGTTCGTTCTTATTTGGAATGATCTCTGCCATTTTGCATCTTTTTTTTTTCTTTTTCTTCCTTGAAGTTCTTTGACTGTATGGTGGATATGCCTTTCGAATTGCCTTTTTGTGCTTATTTTGGTGGTATGTTATAATTCTGTAGTTTATTTTGGTTATAATTTCTTAAACACTAATGTGTTCTGCTATGAAGAGTGCCTTCCATCCCCACCCAATTTCCTACATGGGCCGCTAGGCCTTGAGATGTACACAAAAAGGTTCTGTAAGAGCCAAGCAGGTAAAGAAAGATTCTGTAAGAGAAGTCAAAACCTTTTATTTTAGGTTATAGAAACTAAACATACGCAAACTTTTATTTGGGGTTGTGTCTTTCATGGAGGGAAAGATGATGTTTTTGCTTTCAGATTTTGCCAACTATATGTTACTTTCTTATTTAGTGTATTCATTGTACACTAAAAGGTGTCAAGTCTTGACCCAATGGGTAAACCTGTCTCCCACTTGCGTGACTATTGATGTTTGGGTTGGTATATTCTTCCCAAATGATAAATGGTTCAGACTAGGGTGATATTTGTCAGTCTAAAATTGATTTTACCTAATCCAACCAGTTAAATATTTCAACAACCTGGCTTACCTGTGCTTTATTGTCCCTGGGATCAGGTAAGCAATCAAACCTGTTCAGGAAGGGCACTGGCATTTGAAGCTGACTTGACCCACCATGATGCGATGCCTTTCAGATTGTAGGTTTTCTTACATTTTATTATAATGGTTTAATTGTTGAACTTGGGTTTAGGGTGGAAATAATTTACATCATATTCATGATGTGTATTGCAATTCTCATTTCATACTGCTATGTGATGTGGTTTCTTCATTTGCAATTAAAAGAACTGTATTCTATGTGATGCTTAATTCCAAGTCCAGAGCTGCAGTCTCATGTTTCACCTTGTTTGAATCTGAAAAACCAGATTGTGTAGCAGAAAGATCTACTGTGAATCTATGGAATATATATGTTGCACATGCAGGGAGTTAACCTATTTTGGACGTGTCATCTTCTGGATTAATGACTAACTTAATCTATTTATTCTGACCATCAATTAGTGGCTTCTTATCTGGCCATTCATCCAACTTCTTTTACTGTCCAAAAGGTGTGTTGTCTAGCCTGACAGTGAAGAAAATAACTCAACCGGTTTTATTTAAAATCCTAGGAATTTGCACTTTATGTACATAAGATGGTGGGTCCCAGACTTGCATGTGCTTGATTTGTATGAATTTTCTGTTTTTATATAGGAACTACCATACTTGTGCTATTTATTAATTCGTGTAAACTTCCATATATGACATGTAACATCGGCTTCATGGCATTGGTTTTCTTTAGTAACAATATTATACGTCTTCTTCTTTAATAATGGCTTTATGGATACGTGGAAAAGGATCAAGGTCTGGATGGTCAGAGAAATGAAGTGAAGAACAAGATGCACATGTTTGGGTCTGATGAAGAGATAGCTACACAAGTTTCAACTCAAGTTGAATCTGTTGTGGAAGGGTCAGGGGCTTTGCTTGTGTCAGAGTTCAAACCTTCCCCCGATGTTGATTACTTACAGGTACTTCCTTATTGTGTATAAAGTTTGGCACTTTCAGATAACACCCTATTAAAGACTTCAAATGACTATATATATATATATTCAAATGACTCATATTGGTTGCTATTTAATTTTTTATTTTCTATATAATTATTGATTCAGTTCCTCTATTTTATTTCTTTTGCTTTGATGAATGTGCACATTGGGGTTGGATTGAATGGCAAAACCTCATCCTATATGGCTCAATGTGATTATTCATTTCTTACAAAGGAGTACTCTTGGATCCAATTTTGCTGGACCATTTGATATTTAATTAATCTGACTAGAAAGATATCTTCCAGAAAAATTTCCAATATTTGTTCTGCTATCTTATTTAGGGCCATGAAATTAGGTCAGGTTTTAAATTGTCACATACACATTTCCTTCATGGGAAGGAAAGGAAACTCAAATAAAGGGCCCATCTCAGAGGTAGGAGGATGATACCTTGCCATTCTCCTATTGTGATTTGTGACTCAATGTTTCTTTCTTTCTTTTTCCCCTTTGGTTATACAATGTGATTGAAGTTTGGTTGTTGTAATATTGTCTCCGTATTTTTTGAAGGAGTTATTGGCCATACAACAACAAGGACCAAGAGCAATAGGCTTTTTTGGAACACGAAATATGGGTTTCTTGCACCAAGAGCTTATCGAGATTCTTAGCTATGCCATGGTTATAACTGTATGACATTCTATCTTTACTTACCTTCTATGTTTCTTTGCAAGGAAATTAAGCTATTTCTGCATAGATTGCAATGATATTCAGAGGCATACTAATACATAAGCCTTTGGAAAGCTCAACTTCTCAGAGATTACTAGGTGGTTACTGGTTGCATACTGTCAGATCATTACCCATGCCCAAACATGTTATGATATACATCCTTCTTTTTGTAAATTTCGTGGGTTATAAGATGATGGAGGACTCAAACATGGAGGCATGACGTGAGGTGTTCCACTACCTAGAGGCATGAGGTGTAGTTCAGGATGTAAGAGGCATAAGCCTCCTGAACACAGGGAGGTTCGGGAGGTGTAAGCGTCCTTAAGAGGACTCAGCTAGGTGTCACCGTCCCTAGGGTTTTTAATTGTAATCTGAGGAGCTATACTCGAAGTAGCAAAGAAGAGAAGAGAACCACAAAATTGAAGAGGATGTCGAACTGTACTAGCCAGTCGACCAGTCTTTTATTTATAGATGAATGTAGTACAAGGTACAAGAAATTACTAGGATGCCTCTAATTAGTGATGGGACACCTAGATGACTTAAATCATTAAACAGGATTAGGCCCATTAACACAGGCCCGGTTACAAGATAAGTTAAACATAAGAATGGGATAATGAGAACTCTTATCAGCCGAACATCACTCTAACATTCTAACACTCCCCCTCAAGCTAAGCATGGATATCAATCATGTTTAGCTTGCCAAGTATGTCCCTGAA